GCTTCATCAAACATTAGAATTTAGTATTGATCCAATGATTTTACTGAAGTCACGTCATTATGTCAATAAATTAAGGTTTCAACCCTATTGTTTACCCTTTAACCCCCTATAGTTTCTAAATTATCCTACATACACATCAATTTAATTTAGAATTTAGTTTTATTAAATTAAAATCAAATTGAATTTCAATTTCATCAAATTGATCATTTAATTATCATTAATTCAAATAATAATTTTATTTCACTAACATTAATCTCATCAATTTAACACCAAATTAATATTTAATTCATCAAATTAACATTTTGAAATTTAATTTCATTAAATTAAAGTCAAATTAACATTTAATTTAGAATTTAGTTTCATCAAATCAACATCAAATTGAACTTCAGTTTCATCAAATTGACATTTAATTTCATTAATTCATATATTAATTTCATCACACTAACACTAATTTTATCAATTTAATACTAAATTAATATTTTAAAATTTAATTTTGTCCAATTAGTGTTGGTGTGAAAACTTGATTTGGTGAGTCGGTGAAGTATTGGATTTGGGCAAAAACATGATATTGTGTTGGGAGGCATTGAATTGGAGTGTTGGAGTTAAAATTGGAGAAATGCATTAATCAATTAGAATCAAATTTGATAGACTTGATTATGCAATAACAACACATCTTAACATTTACGCTTTAGAAAAGTCTAAAACTTCATGTTCGATAAAACGTTTCCAACTTCACAAATACATCACCATAAGAGAGGATTCCCTTTCCATAACAGAAGCAACTTGTGATTCTTTATTTTTTTTAGCAAAAAATCAAGTAGCATCAATATGCTAGCATCATTTCATCAACTCCAAACAAATACACACTACTCAATTTCAAAACCAAAAATTTGAATAAACCACTAAAAAACTGTAAGTTGTTCCAGTTTCTACTCAGGTAGCTGTATTTCTGGAAATGGATTGAAATGATTAGTCGGTGAAGTATTGGATTTAGGCAAGAATTTGGTATTGTGTTGGGCAGCATGGAATTGGGGTCTTGGAGTTAAAGTTGGAGATTGAGAGAGAAGAGAGCGAGAGACTGCGGGGAAAGAGAGAAGATATCGACAAAGTATGCGGGGGTGTGCAAAAACAGAGCATTTAGGGGAGGGGGTTAGCAAAGCCAAAAGGGACGAACAAGGGTCACTCAAGACAATTTGGGGCTTAAAATGATATTTCTAAATGAAACCTTCTATGTTTAATGTTAATATTTTTTATTTAAAATTAATATTTCTTATTTTTTGAGCTGCAAAAGTATTAATTAAGGTTTTGTATTCAAATTTTGCTACCATATTTTTTTCAATTGATAGTATCGTTAATCCAGTTAATCTTTCTTGTAACATAGTCGATCTTAAGTAAGATTTTATCAATTTTAATTTTAAAAAGTTTCTTTCCGCAAAAGTAATCGTTACAGGAATTGTTAATAATATTCTATAAGTAATGCATGCATTCGGAAAAGAATATAACTTTTTTATATAATTTAGTATTTTAATTGGAGTATTTTTTTTCGTTTGTAAAATTTCTTTTAAAACATTTAGTTCTCAAAATAAATCTAAGCCATTAATATCGAAAAAAATTTTATGTTTTAAGAAACATTCGAGATCCAAACAACATTATTTTAAACTATCATTGGTTAATGAATTTAATTTTTCTAAGTTAAATAAAAAATCACAAATATTTTCGTAATTTTGTAATTGTTCGAATCTATTTTTTAGTGAAAAAATAGCTTGATCAATTATGTATATAAAATAATTAATTCTAAAAGATTCTTTAATAGATTGTGTTACTTCATCATCAACATTTTCATCAAATTGTATTGTTCTACGAATTTTACATTTCTCACAAAATATAGGTTCTATACCTATTTCACATGCAATCTCTTTAGATGAAATCATGACATTTGTAAATCTACTTTCCTTATATTTTTCAAAAAAAGAAATAAGACTTTTTAATTGATTTATAGCAATATCAATGTGCATGTCTTTTGATTGTAAATATTTACTAAGTTGATGGAAAAAAAATATCATACCAAATAATCATGCCCAATAAGAATTTAAATTTTCAATCTCATATGTTGCTAAACACTTAGCTTCACTCATTGTTTTAGGATCTTCACTAGTTTCCACTAATTGCAATAATGCATATCTTATTCTTGGAGTTTGAAATCTTATTGCTTTAACACTTTTAACACGAATTTCTCAACGTGTTTGTGATAAAGACTTAAGAGTTAAAACCTTGAATATTATCTTGTAAAATTTTTCATCGTTTTGTGGAAGAGGAAAATAATGAATATATACGTTGTACTATTCCAAAAAATGATATAGCCTTGAAACAAGAGTTAGTCATATCACAAAGTACTAGATTTAAATTATGACAACCACATGATGTGTAAAATATTCTAGGGTTTATATTAAGTAGCCTTTTTTTCTATTCCTTGATGTTTTTCTTTTATATTAGACCCATTATCATATCCTTGTTCTCATACATCATTAATATCTAATTCAAGATTACTTATTACATCTATAAGTTTATCAAATAAACTTTTTTCACTCGTATCATCTATTTTAATAAACTCTAAATTTTTTTTTCTATTTTTATTGGACTTATTGTAATATCTACGCATCGTAATATGAGAGACATTTGTTCTTGATGACTTGCATCGGGAGTACAATCAAGTATAATTGAATAATATTTTAGTTCTTTAACTTTTTTAATAATATTGCTTTTTACTTCATTTCCTAACAAATTTGTCAATTCATTTTGTATGTTATGTCCAAGATAATAACTATGAATTCTATCTTGTTGAATATGACAAACGTGTTATTGTATTATCGGATCAAATTCCGCAATCATTTCAATTAAACTTAAAAAATTGTCATTATTTTCTTGAGATATCTTTTCATTTTTCTCCCGAAAAGTTAAATTATTTTTACCAAGATTTTTTACAACGACAATAATTCTTACTAATACATTTTGTCAATATTCTTTTTCTCTATTAATTTGTTCTTAGATACTTTTGCAATTGTTTTATTTATTTACAATCTTGTTTCTAATTCAATCCAAGCATTCATATTAGTTATATGTTCATTAGTTATTTCATGATTTTTAAGCTGAACACCAATATTTCTCCAATCTTGTGTTCCTTCGTTAGCTAGTTTACTTGTAGAATAATTCATATTGAATAACTTGCAACAAAAACAAAATAATTTATCCAAATCTTTTGAATATATTAGTCATCTTCTATCAAGTGTTTCCCCATTTGTTAATTTGCAAATAAGTGGAAAAATGTCTAAAGTGTTCATCCCGAGAAAAATCTAAATTATTATGTCTAATTGGACCATTTTCTACTAATAAATCTCTTAGGTTCGTATCGANTCATTTCTTTGAGAATCCTGCTTTGGAATATCCTTTTCCGGCATTCCAGTTCCCTGAAATGGAGCGCCAGAAATTTATTGGGTTTATGTATGAAATNTAATTGGACCATTTTCTACTAATAAATCTCTTAGGTTCGTATCGATATTTTTCCATTGACTTGGATCATAAATATTTATATAACTATAATCACTTGTTTCATTAAGATTTTGATTATCTTCAATTTCATTATCTTTTATTTAATTATTTTCTTTTTCAATATTTTCTATCATTATCCTCTAGTTTATTATCTTTTATTTCAATATTTTCTGCTTCAATATTTTTTATTTCATTATCTTTTATTTGANATCTCAAATGGTGTCTCAAGAAAGGAAAGGTACCTAGGATGCTTGGCAAGATCTTCAAGAATCGTGTTGATTAAGACATCGATAGAAATTGAGGAAAAGTATATCAATTATTTGTCAGTTTTGACGGGAAAGGAGATGGTTACTGTGGGGCCTCTTCTTCAGGACCCTACAGACAAAGATGAAGATANTTATTCTCTTCTATTTCATTATTTACTTGTTCATTTTCAAAATTTTCATCTAAATTTTTTATTACTAGTAACAAATTTATCAAGCGATCCTTTTTGAGATTCTATTAGTTGATCTATTTCTCTTTTTCTTTTTTAATTTTTCGTATCCACTTGATTGTCTTCTAGGTGTCATATTATTAATATATTATAACTATATAACAACCAAACAAATACAAATAAACACAATATATAGTATAGTTAAAAATGTATAACAAAAAAATTTAAAATTATGAAACAATAAAACTTGGCTTGAATGATCTCAAATGTTGGCTTTTTGGCTCTAAACCATGTCCCTTACGTTGCAATGAAAAATTGAGTTGATGATGGAGGATGGAGTGGAGGCTGAGTGATCTGTGAGTGAGTTCTCCGCTGTAGTACTTGGCAAAAAAAAAAAAAGTGATATGTGAGCAACGTTTACTGAGTTGAGAGTTGAGAGCACTGATAGAGGGAGAGAGAGAGAGAGTGAGAGAAGAAAAGTTTTTTTTTGTTTCAGTTTAATGAGAGGGAAAGAGAGAAAGAAAAATAATTGTTTTTGTGTTGTTGGTTTGGTTGGTTTTTTGGTGTCTTTGATATGACCTTTAAGTTCTTTTTTTTTTTTTTTTATTAATATCGTTAATTTTTTTTACAATATAAAATGTTGGATTGAATTATGGGCTAAAATGATTTGGATTGGATTATGGGCTAAAATGATTGATTGAATTTATATTTTTATAAGACTTTTGTTTATATGGATTATTTACCGTGTTTAAAAATTAAAGACCTTCCTTGGAAATGGGGCTAAAGCCCAAGTTTTTTTAAACCTTCTGTTGGGCCGGCCCTAGGGACGAAGGGGAGGGTGGGGCGCGCTGTGTGCTAGGGAGATGGCGTTGTGGTGGTCATACAATTCGCTCTTTATAATTTACACCGAAAGCTTTTTGTTTTGTACTTGTACTTGTGTAGGATATTCAAAGTCAAGCCAGCCAAACCATTAAGCCACATTTTCTCCCACTTCACCTACCACACATCTGGAGAGAGATTCATGGCTTCCAAACAAAACAGTCATAGTGTTCTGATGCTACCATGGTTAGCTCATGGCCACATATCACCATTCTTGGAGCTAGCCAAGAGACTTGCAGAGAGAAATTTCCACGTCTATCTTTGCTCCACACCCATCAATTTAAAACCTATCAGAAAAACCTTTCTTTCCGGCCAACTCTTTCCTTCAATACAACTCATAGATATACACCTTCCTTCCTCCCCAGAACTCCCTTCTCACTTCCACACCACCAAAGACCTCCCACCCCACCTCATGTCCGACCTCAAAACTGCCTTTGACGCGGCCAAACCTGACTTTTGTAACATCCTCAGAACATTCAAACCAAATTTAATCATCTATGATTTCTTACAGCCATGGGCACCCGAAGTGGCTCGTGAAGAAAACATTGATGCAGTTCTTTTCTTAACTTTTGGTGCGTCGACTTGTGCTTTTCTCAATCATTTCTTTGAGAATCCTGCTTTGGAATATCCTTTTCCGGCATTCCAGTTCCCTGGAATGGAGCGCCAGAAAATTATTGGGTTTATGTATGAAATCTCAAATGGTGTCTCAAGCAAGGAAAGGTACCTAGGATGCTTGGCAAGTTCTTCGAGCATCGTGTTGATTAAGACATCGATAGAAATTGAGGAAAAGTATATCGATTATTTGTCAGTTTTGACGGGAAAGGAGATGGTTACTGTGGGGCCTCTTCTTCAGGACCCTACAAACAAAGATGAAGACACAGTTATCATGGAGTGGCTGAGCAAACAAGAGGCTTCTTCAGTTGTGTTTGTCTCTTTTGGAAGTGAGTATTTTCTTTCAAAGGAAGAGATAAAAGAGATAGCTTATGGATTAGAGCTCAGCAAGGTGAGTTTCATATGGGTTGTAAGGTTTCATGGAGGAGAGAGCATTAGATTAGATGAAGCCTTACCAGAAGGCTTCCAAGAAAGGGTTGGAAAGAGAGGCATGCTCCTAGAAGGGTGGGCCCCACAGGCAAAGATACTAGGACATACTGGCATAGGTGGCTTTGTGAGTCACTGTGGGTGGAGTTCAACACTGGAGGGAGTGATGTTTGGTGTTCCAATCATAGCCATGCCTATGCATTTAGACCAGCCCTTGAATGCCAAGTTGGTAGTGGAGATTGGCGTAGGCATGGAGGTGAAGAAAGAAAATGGAAGGTTCAACAGGGAGGAGGTGGCAAAGGTTANGGCTTTTTGGCTCTAAACCATGTCCCTTACGTTGCAATGAAAAATTGAGTTGATGATGGAGGATGGAGTGGAGGCTGAGTGATCTGTGAGTGAGTTCTCCGCTGTAGTACTTGGCAAAAAAAAAAAAAGTGATATGTGAGCAACGTTTACTGAGTTGAGAGTTGAGAGCACTGATAGAGGGAGAGAGAGAGAGAGTGAGAGAAGAAAAGTTTTTTTTTGTTTCAGTTTAATGAGAGGGAAAGAGAGAAAGAAAAATAATTGTTTTTGTGTTGTTGGTTTGGTTGGTTTTTTGGTGTCTTTGATATGACCTTTAAGTTCTTTTTTTTTTTTTAATATCGTTAATTTTTTTTACAATATAAAATGTTGGATTGAATTATGGGCTAAAATGATTGATTGAATTTATATTTTTATAAGACTTTTGTTTATATGGATTATTTATCGTGTTTANTAAAATGTTGGATTGAATTATGGGCTAAAATGATTTGGATTGGATTATGGGCTAAAATGATTGATTGAATTTATATTTTTATAAGACTTTTGTTTATATGGATTATTTACCGTGTTTAAAAATTAAAGACCTTCCTTGGAAATGGGGCTAAAGCCCAAGTTTTTTTAAACCTTCTGTTGGGCCGGCCCTAGGGACGAAGGGGAGGGTGGGGCGCGCTGTGTGCTAGGGAGATGGCGTTGTGGTGGTCATACAATTCGCTCTTTATAATTTACACCGAAAGCTTTTTGTTTTGTACTTGTACTTGTGTAGGATATTCAAAGTCAAGCCAGCCAAACCAAGAGGATTTCAACAAAAGCTGTCAGCAAAACCTAAGCCACATTTTCTCCCACTTCACCTACCACACATCTGGAGAGAGATTCATGGCTTCCAAACAAAACAGTCATAGTGTTCTGATGCTACCATGGTTAGCTCATGGCCACATATCACCATTCTTGGAGCTAGCCAAGAGACTTGCAGAGAGAAATTTCCACGTCTATCTTTGCTCCACACCCATCAATTTAAAACCTATCAGAAAAACCTTTCTTTCCGGCCAACTCTTTCCTTCAATACAACTCATAGATATACACCTTCCTTCCTCCCCAGAACTCCCTTCTCACTTCCACACCACCAAAGACCTCCCACCCCACCTCATGTCCGACCTCAAAACTGCCTTTGACGCGGCCAAACCTGACTTTTGTAACATCCTCAGAACATTCAAACCAAATTTAATCATCTATGATTTCTTACAGCCATGGGCACCCGAAGTGGCTCGTGNCTCTCACTTTGGTTCACCAACTGGCCAATGAGTCAAATAAACAAAGATTGGAAAAAAAATCCATAAAATCAACTTCTTGAATCAGCCTAAAAAATATTTTTGAGTCCAAAAAATGTTTTTTATAAGTTGGTCCAAACCGACCTGGCATATTTTATTCCAAACTTTATAAAATTAACATATTTTAGCTCCCCGAACAGATCCACTATGATTAGTCAAGAAAAACACTATTAATTGGTATTGTAAACATAAAATGGGTATTTTAATTTTTTTTTTACATTAATGTCACAAGAGTTGTTTAAAAATTTAATAATTTTTTTATTAATACAAATACGACATAAACAAAAATGACATGACTTAAAAAATAATACAACTAAAAAAGGTGAATTGAGATCCGTTGTTTGCTAAATCTTTGGGCATTCTAGGTTCTTCCAACAAGGCAGACAATCCCTCTAATCTGCGTGTCGATGTNGGGCATTCTAGGTTCTTCCAACAAGGCAGACAATCCCTCTAATCTGCGTGTCGGTTTTAATTTAAAAAGTAACTCTTAGTGTGAGCAAATAACTTCTACATTCGTGGAGGGGTATAAGAACTAGGTCTAGGGGGAAAAACTTTTGACAAATCACAGGGACGGTTATGAATATGAAATACGGATATGATATAGGCTGAGAGATAACTTACATAATTGTAAGAGTTGCTAATCAAATATTACATAATTTAAAGAATTTGTTAAGAGAGTGATCGGTCTTAGAAATCAAGGTAATCCTTTTATTTGTTTTCTATTTTTGGTCAAACATTCATGATATTCTAGCGACATCGATCACACTTCTGCAGTATAAGACTATTTTATGATAAAAAATCGTCTNTTTATTTGTTTTCTATTTTTGGTCAAACATTCATGATATTCTAGCGACATCGATCACACTTCTGCAGTATAAGATTATTTTATGATAAAAAATCGTTTTACCTTACAGATCTCGTACGAACTCGTAAATATTACGTAAACTGGGGAATTTTGGGACCATTTTCTTACTACTTAAACTTGGAAGATCTAATAGCCATCCTAATATTGAGAACAGTTGTAACCAAGAAAACAGCCTAAGATTGCTGCTTAAAATCAGCATCTTCAGGGCACAAGCAAGTGGGATCCTTTGAACAGATTCCTAAATGCCCATCAATTCAATATTTTTGTCCAATTTCTGTGTTTTGGACGCAAGACCAAAGTGAAGTTACGAGGGACAGACATAAGACAACCGAGAGAGCCTACGGTACCGCCCGGTCAAACAGCGGTACCGTACCATAAAAAAAAAGAGTGGTCATAAATTTTTGGACATTTAATATTACTTAAATGTGTGATTGTAAATTTTTTGTTATTAAATATTACTTTTTAAAGTTAATAACTTTGCCTATAAATGTAATACATTACCTTAAAGGGTTCGTAACTTACCTCAAATACTTGTAATCTCATTTGCCCTTTTTTTGTGGTATTTTTACTTTTATTACTTATAACCTAAATTTAAATACTTGCAACATAACCTTAAATATAGTAATTTTACCATAAATAGTTATAACATCACTTTCAAAGATAGTAATTTTATTTTTAGTTATGGTAACCTTACCTAACCTTTAATTCATAACCTTTAATTGTTGTAACCTAACCTTTAAGAGTTATAACCTCACTTTCAAGGATACTAATTTTATTTTTAATTATTGTAACCTTACCTAACCTTTAATTGTTGTAACCTAACTTTTAAAAGTTTGTACCTCACATTTAAAGTTCAAAATTATAAATTTAAAATTCATAAAAGTAACATCAATTTAAAATTCATAAAATTAAAATTAAATTAAAATTCATAAAATTAACATTAAGTTAAAATTCATAAAATTAAAATTAAATTAAAATTCATAAAATTAACATTAAATTAAAATTCATAAAATTAAAATTAAATTAAAATTCATAAAATTAACATTAAATTAAAATTCATAAAATTAAAATTAAATTAAAATTCATAAAATTAACATTAAATTAAAATTCATAAAATTAAAATTAAATTAAAATTCATAAAATTAACATTAAATTAAAATTCATAAAATTAAAATTAAATTAAAATTCATAAAATTAACATTAAATTAAAATTCATAAAATTAAAATAAAATTAAAATTCATAAAATTAACATTAAATTAAAATTCATAAAATTAACATTAAATTTAAATTCATAAAATTAACATTTTAAAATTTAAATTCATAAAATTAACATTATATTTCGAGTGCTTGATATTTTTGAGATCTTACATTAACAGTTCGATATATCGAAGGGAATCCATTTTCTAATTTTATACGATTCTTGAGTGAAAATATGTTTAATAAGATTTGAATCTTTAAGTCTATGTACGATGGTAAACAATGATTGAAATGTATATCAATATAAATTTGAACGTTTAATGTCGACCTTAAGTTTAAACTATTGATTTTCAATTGCTATTTTCTCTCTTAATGTGGAAAAACAATAATCTCCACACAAGTCTTTTGATTCTATGGCTGACATGTGTGTCAATACAACTTTGAAGTTTCAATGCCAACCACAAAATTTAAACTATATTCATTTCCAATGGCTATTTTCTCTAAATTTGGAAAGAAAAAAAACCATAATTGTCTTAATATATCATTAGACTCTCCCAATAAATTCTTGTATCTGTGTCCCCAGGTAACTTGGCATCAGCATAACAAGTTAACAAATTTGCATGTTTGTTCTATAAACAACCTTTTGGTAAGTTTGTTTGTCAATGGCTGCATCTATAAAATTGATAGCCCTTAGCCTGGGAGCACTCATTATATGTTCATTCATGGTTGCTTTTACGGATGCAAAGGTGATCGACTATGGTGCTATTAATCACAATAACTTTCCATGCGACCAACATGGTCAAAACGGATGTTTAAGTCCACCAGCAAACGGGTATCAGAGAGGCTGCGCCGACGTAGAAAAATGTCAACGCAGTCCTGGGGTTGATGGTCCATAGATAATGCAGTTGAGAGTCCAGCAGCAGCTCCCCCGAATAATTCATAGATAATTAAAGCTAAAAACGCTTTATCATTCGTTGGGGTAATATTTTGTTGAGTCGAGTTGAGTTCAGATGTACCCACTTACATATTAATTCATGTATAACTTGTGTATGCACAAACATACACATTTATGAGGAATGTACCGGTTTTACAATATAAATGATGGTGTTTTATAAGTGGTAAGGAGTTACAATCCAGAATTATGGTATTTATCCAGAAAATTAACGTTTTAAAATGTTAATTTTATGAATTTTAATTTAATGTTAATTTAATGAATTTTAATTTAATACTAATTTAATGAATTTTAATTTAATGAATTTTAATTTAATGTTAATTTATGCATTTTAATTTACTGTTAATTTTATGAATTTTAATTTAATTTTAATTTTATGAATTCTAATTTAATTTTAATTTTATGAATTATAATTTAATGTTAATTTTATGAATTTTAATTTTATGAATATTAATTTTATGAATTTTAAATTAATGTTACTTTTATGAATTTTAAATTTATAATTTTGAATTTTAAATGTGAGGTACAAACTTTTAAAGGTTAGGTAAAGTAACAATAATTAAAAGTAAAATTACTATCTTTGAAAGTGAGATTATAACTCTTAAAGGTTAGGTTACAACAATTAAATGTTAAGTAAGATTACTACAACTAAAAATAAAATTACTATATTTAAAAGTGATGTTATAACAATTTATGGTAAAATTATTACATCTAAGATTAGATTACAAATATTTAAAGTTAGGTTACAAATAGTAAAGGTAAAAATACTCTAAAAAACCGGCAGTTGAGGTTACAAGAATTTGAGGCGAGTTAATGTTATTATTTTTATAAGTAAAGTTATCACCTTTAAAAAATAATATTTAATGACAAAAAATTTACAGCCACATATTTGAGTAATATTAAATGTTAAAAAATTTATGACCACATCTTTTTTTCGGTATAGTACTACTGTTTAAAGGTATGTTTCAAATGTCGACAAAGTTCACATGTGAACAGTGTGATCAATGAAAAAAAAGACTTACACCGACAACGTTTTTGTTTTCGTGTCTTTAAAATAATAAAAAATAAAAATATTTTTCGTCTTTGTTTTGTGATAAACACTAAAATAAAAAATATGTTTAAGTGTCATTTTTATCTATTAAATTATGAGAATAAAAAATAAAAAATATATTTACTAACTACTTCCTGTGTTATCCTAAATATGCTTAATAATATATCATACAACAGAATACAAATCCATGATCCCAGAATCCTCGCTCTCATTCAGTAGGTAGATGTAATTAGTTTTCTCTATTGCTATGGTGTCCCGAACCCACCTCTCATCTGTTACTGGAGCACTTATACCAGACCAAGACCGCACCATATTTTCTCTATAAAATCCACCAAACTAATGTAGTAGTTGTAGTTGTTCTTCCAGGAAACAAAGTTGCAACCAACAGTCACTTGGTCCCAAACAGCAATCCCATACTCAATGCTCCTATGAACT